GAGGGCTCTTACCCACCCCCACCTTCCCTGGCCACTTGGCCTTCTCAGTCATGGATATTCTCCCAGGTCCCAACCCCTCTGACCTTCTGCTAACCTTCTTCAATGTTTTAAGGACCACAGACCACTACGGAAGTGCTTAAGACCCATAGGCAAGGGTGGTATTAAAATATTTAACAGACAGTATAGTCTGGGCACTGACCCATTTGAGGGTGCTTGGGTTCTAGGGGACATTAGGGGGGCTCAGAACTAGGACTATTTACCAAGTGGTCCAAAAAACTTTTAGCAGGCAATGTGGCCACAGGAGGGGAAAATCCACCCCGCACATCAGTCACAGCTGCAGTGTCTTAAGCTTCACCAAGGATTTTATGTTTTCTGATTCACTAGATACCTTGAAAGGGGTTTAATATCCCTTGCTTTGCAGCTGAAAAAACAGATGCTTGGCGAAGTTAAGCGTTTATCTGTGGTCCCATGGCTAGGAAATGGAGCCATGACTTGAAACTAGATTTTTGTCTCAACAAAGTGGTTCGTGTTCCAGAAGTCTGGCACAAGGATGTATACCATCCACCTCCCCAAGATATGCCCACAGTTCCGTGGCATATGTCTCGCCAGATATGTCTCGCCTTTGCCACGTCTCTGCCAGTCCATACTCCAACTGGCAAGGCTAATTCTAGATAACGGCAGGACGGGCTCAAAGTTGCCCAACACTGTCATGCCTCACCTTCCTGGAGGCCTGCTGGCTCCAGGCACCAGATAGAGTCTCTAACTGGGAGATGGGTTGCTGGGCAACCCAACAGCCACCCACCTTCCTCTGCTCAATAGCTCCAGGGAGGCAGGGGTTGAGGCCTTGGTAGACCAGTGACTATTGACAATGTTTCATTCCTAGGGAAGGGCTAGAAACAATAGATTCTCAGTGGCCACTGAACTTAATTGCAGTTGGAGACACTGCACATTGTAACAAATCGTTCTGTGTTCTTCTCCTGCCACAGATACCAGTTTCCTAAACAAGCCCCCACCCCACCCATCTTCCTCTACCCTATCCAATTTCTCCTACAGGAGGAGAGCCATGGAGCCAGAGTCTGTCCTAGTGAGAGTTCCTCTACTCATAGCCCTCTGGACTGGGTTGGGGCCCTAGGTGATTTGCTGGTCCCTGGGCATGTGGTAATAGCCTTTCAGATGCCGTATCTGTCTGCATCTACACCTGGAGAGATGATGGTGGAGCCACAGCCCACCAATCACCAAGGGTAAAGGAAAGTTCTTTGGGCACAAAAGAAGAAGCACTCAGCTCAGAAGCTCCTGGGGTTGTTTCATGCCACAGAAGACCCTGGCAAGTTGACTAAGATCCCTGCATTAACAGAGGAAATTGGAAAAAGCACTCAAACCCTCTGCTGGCTTTTTCCATCAGCACCTCTAAGCCTATCTACTAGAAGGCTCTGGATCAGTTGGAAATTCATTCTCTTAAAGTCCAAATTGGTGGTTAAGCAAAACCTCAGTTTTAGTCCTAAGAAAGAGACTGGAGAAGTTTTACCCCATGGTCCCTCAGTGTAGCCAGAGATATCTCTTCGGCCATTCCCTCAAGGCAGTTCTGAGACACCAAAACTGCTCAGTCATGAGAAAAGCTGGAATCACAACCATTTGCTAATTTAACACCATCCTTAGGGATAAAACAAGAAAAGGTAAAGCGAAGCTCCTGAACTCTGAGGCCCCTCTGACCCTCCCTCCCCCCACCGCCCTTTTGTTCCTTAAGACAAGAGTTCTGAAATCCCCACACCAAACCAGTCATTCCATCAGCTAAGCCATCCACCACATGGCCCAGGGACAGGAGTATAAAAGTCACCATCCAGGCTCCATGTGACACATTTCTCTGTCCAAAGGCACAGCACACACCCATGGGCAGGGCACCAAAAAGGTAGCGGGCACAGCCCTGGTTTGGGGATAGCATTCTGCCCCTGCACCAGCAGCCAAGGGAAGGGAGTGAGCAGCAGCATCTGGTCAAGCTCAGGACTTTACGAGGCTTTCAAGGACTCTTGGGGCTGGAAGGGGCTTGCAGGTGACCAAACACCTTCACCAAACACCTGGTGAAGACTTCTCTACTGGGGAGAAGGGGTGGAGAGAGGAGTCCGAAGCCTCCCTGGGGAATCCCTGTCCTGCTCCTGATTCCTCAGTTTGAACTGAAATTCCAGAACTCAAGTTCTGCTGGGTTCTCAGAAGGACTAGAGAACAGATGTCCCCCTCCCCTCAAAAATAAGAGCCCTTCCTGGTCTGCCGATGAAATGATTTCATCGGTGCCTGGCTGGCCCCAGCAATTAAACACATGTAAAAAAGCACTACCTTTCTAATCTTAAAAAAAAAAAAGTACTATTGTCCCCAGTGTGTTCCTTGAAAAACTGAGAGAGGGGATCTACCCAGCTACATTTCTGTCCATGGATTACCAAGAGGATTCCTCCCAAAAGCTCCACATACCAGATCCACCACCTTTAGACCAAAGAGGTTCTGGAGGACTTGTCTGAAACTTGGTCCGCCAGCCCTTCTATGTAACTCCCCTCCAAGAGTGCAGCTGTCTGCAAGCACCCCACACCCAAGACTGCTCTGGAAGACCTACAGTTGCTTTCTGGAGGGGGAGTTCTGGTCTGCCCCTCTCACAGAGTGCTGATGTGCCCCACCCTCCCATCCCTGGTCTTTAGGGTTCTCTGTTTTCCCCTTCCCAAGCCAGACTCATAGTGGCAGAGGTGGGAATGCCCGCAGAGTGCATGCATGTGTGCAGGCGGCAAGGCCCTGCTATCAGCCCAAGCCCATGGATTCCTGAAAGAGATGAGCTAAGGACAGGCAGGTGAGGGATACACTGGGGACTATCCCCCTCACTGCAGCAGCCTGAAGGCCAGGGCTGCCCAGGCCTAGGAGAGAGGGGCTGAAGCAGGATGGGTGTGGAATGGACATGGAACACTTCTTGAACCTTATTTCAATCTAAGAACAATTTGTCGAGTGGCATGTACGGTCAAGACCTACACAGAATCATAGATCAATCATCTGTATAAACTAAGTTACACAGGAGCCTTCTTCATCTGTTTATGTAACCAAGGAGCCTGAAAGGGCCAAGGGTCAGGGCAAAATAAGTTTGTGGATGACCACCACTCTGTTCCTCTACTACTAACTCTCTTCCTGAGAAGCTGTTCTTGTTACCCCATGACTAGACTCAGCTTAAGCCCTCTAAAGGAACTCATCTAGTCCCATGTTCCCATGCCTCCCAGGTAGGGACCTTGATTCTTTCCTGGCTGGCAGGGCTGGGACAAGCAGTCAAGCAAAAGACTTAAAACAGAAAACCTCTTTCAGAGAAAGCTGACTCTCTGGTATAGTTCTGCTCATTTCAAAACCTGAGGCCCATGGTCTCAGGGCTCCAGCCCCAACACTGAAATTAAAAGATCCCCCAGAGTGGACGCTCCTGCATCCCAAAGGCTCTGTTCCCAGGCCACCCAGCCTCTCAGGACACCAAAGAGAAATGACTGGGAAAACCTCAGCCTGGAGGGGCTGGTGTTTCTACTCTATGTAAGTTCCTACTTAACTAAAAGAGTGGAGAGAACCTGGGGTACTGGGTCGGGAGGACATGGGAACTTCTTACCAAAGATAAAGGTGTATATCTTGCAGGTGGGGATCAATGTGATCCCATACAGGGCTCCCAAGTGTAACAGACCCATGAGGATGATGTTTCTCCAAACATACTCAAGCTTGGGCTTTGGGCCCTCCTTATCCTGGTAAGTTGGGTCATAGATGTCATCTCTCATTTCAGGGCGGATGTCTTCTTCCAAGTATAGGGGAGTCTTCTCCAATTTGCCTCCTCCATTCTGCAGGACCCTGGAAGGAGGTGCTGTGATGGTGGTGGTGGTTGTGTAGGAGCTAGAGATCTGGAAGGGAGACGGAGTGGAGGATCAAGAGAGAGGAGAGGACACGTGGAGGTAGTAGGGACCACTTCACTCCCTAGTCAAGCTGGGGGAGGGGCGGAGGATAGGCACAGACCTGGTCCCAATACCCAGGTTACCTGAGGGCAAGGTCTACGGCATACGGAAGAAAGGGAAGTCCCCAGGAACTATGCAGAGATTGGGGAGAGGAGGTGAAACCTCAAGGTGAAGGGGAAATAAGAAAGAGGAGTGAAACACTCGCACCCCAACGAGCACACAAAGAAAGCCCGCATACCTACATACATAAGGCTACCGGCAGGACCAGGTTTCTCTTTAAAGCGTAAGAAACGAAAGTTGGAGACCTAAGTTCGCAAATTACAATCCCCATTCCCAACAAACTGAAGGCAGTCCAACTCGCAAAAGATGGCTATGTTCTCTTGCGGTGATCTCAACTCTTCCCCCGTGAGTCACCTAGAAGCCCCACCAGCCCCGGCGAACCCGGGGCCTGGGGGCCATTCCTCGGAAGCTCTCACCTCCTCTTGCAGCAAGTGGGCCGGCATCTGGGCTCTCCGACACTGGGATCACTTTCCCAGGGCTGAGACTGCGGAGCGGAGTTCGGGGCAGTCCGAACTGAGCGTAGACTAGTTCTTGAGCCTGCTTTTGCGTGGCGATCCGCGGCGCTGCGCTCGGGACCTTCCGCTGCACGGTGCGCGCTGGACTGGTGTCTGAACCGGACCTGCTGTTCTGGGGATTTAAAGGCTAGCGCTGGCAGCGGGTGACCGTGTCCCGTATTTCCTCAGACCCCTTTTATTCGCTGCCAGCTAGGGGGAAAGTGCGCAGAGTTGGCTCACCGTGGGAGATCCGCATGGGCGGGAGAGGGGAGGAGACAGAGAGCCAAGGCGTGCTGGGGGCCGGAGAAGCAAAACTGGATGCTGCAGACACACCGCGGCTTGGCCGCCGCAGCCCCTGCCTCTGCCTCTGCCCCTGGGGAAATGCTAATGGGCTTCTGTAGACTCTGGCGCGTCATTGGCCGAAGGGAATTTGGTGCCACCTCGTCCCGCCGTTGCCATTGGCTCGGCGCAATCTGCTGTTCCCTCTGCCGCGAGCTCCTCACTCCCCCTCCCCTCCCTTTCTCCTCGGCTTCTCTTCCACCGGCCGCTGGGCCTCTACCCGGCATCCTGCCGCCTCGGAGGCGCTGGGGAAGCGGGAGAGGACCCGATCGGGGAACGGTGCGGGGATGCGTGCCAGCCCAGGACTGGCCCCGGGCAATTCGCAAATGGATGGGCACTGGGGAAGTTTCCCGGGAAGGAGTGGGGAAACCACGCGGGCTACCACTCCACACAACTCCACCCCGGCCTTCCCGCTCGCCTAGACGCGTGGGAGGGGAGACTTGCCCTCAAACCCCGGGTCCCGGGCCGCGCGCCCGGAGAAGCCCCGCCTCCCTCTGTGGCTAGCGCTCAGGGGATGCAGGGTAGGGGGCTGGGGGCGGTTCGGTTGGCCACGGAACAATGGCCCGGCCCCGCCCACCAGCGGCGCCGTGCTAACCCGGGACTGCTGAACATGCATGCGGGTCTCCCCGCGGGCAGGCCGGCGGGAGGCGGCGCACACACAAGTAGATGCACTGATGTGTAGATCTGCACGCGCGCAAGAGGTTCAACCACTGGGCACGTCGAAAGGGAATGTTCACTGCCAGGCACCAGTGAACTATGTTATCCCTGTGCCCACGCCAACAGAACGCGTGCGGGATGTTCTGGAGATTCTTTAGATTGTCGGGTTGTTGTTTTGGAATTGCCTTCGTTGGGAAAGGCCATTTCGTGGGGAAAGTACAGACGTGCTTTCACTCAGAAGCAGGAGAAAGTACTTATAAGTGCAGCAAAAATAGCCAAAAGGTATTGATTGCAAGCCAATCCACAAGAATCCTTTATTTGATACTTACTTGTGGCCCTGTGAACTTCTCTGGGGGCTCAGACGGTAAAGCATCTTATCTACAATGTGGGAGACCTGGGTCCGATCCCTGGGTCAGGAAGATTCCCTGGAGAAGGAAATGGCAACCCACTCCAGTACTCTTGCCTAGAAAATCCCATGGACAGTGGAGCCTGGTGCAGGCTGCTGTCCATGGGTCGCAAAGAGTCAGACACGACTGAGTGACTTCACTTTCACTTTGTGGCCCTGTGAGGTGGGTAGTCATTTACTCCCTTTTAAAAGATGAGAGAAGTGAGCTATGGAGAAATTAAATAACTTTCTTATGGTCACAGCAGCCAGTCAATGATGGAGCTAGTAGCTGAGCCCAGAAATATAATGATGGAGCCCAGGTCTTAATCCCTACTCAGAATCCCTGGTCCCTGACATGTTCTGACCTCACTGTTGTGGCTCACAGTCTTGCCTTTTCCCAGGGCTGTGGGAGCCTTATCATGGGGGTAAGCTGGGAACCAGGCAGGCTGTGCATTCTCCCAGCCTCCAACCACACCCCTGTCTCCACAAATACCATCCCTTTGGGAAGAGAAGAAAGTGAGGAGTTTTGTGCCAACAACTAGCTTCTGGAAGAGAGGCACCTGGGATGGCCTGGGAGGATGATTAAGGAGCTCGCTAGTAGGCCACAGGTCTTGAGGTCTGGCCAGCCTCCAGGCCAGTCACCATCCACCGCCATTCCAGTCCTGACTCCCTGTCCAGTGCAAAAGTTTTGAATGAGACTAGATGTTTTTAGATACAGACAGCTGTTTCATCATGGCTCAGTAGCCCTCAGCATGTATGTGAGAGAGAAGTCTGGGCACGTGTTGCTCCTCTCCAGGCTCTTCTGTAATGTCTAATTGGCTTAATTCCTCTGCCATGTATAGGGCTATTCTTCAAGGTAGAAGAGTCAGGATTGCTTTGGGGGTGTACCCTCAATTGTGGCCAAAAGTGGCTCTACTACTGAGACCAAGTTTCTTTCCCTTTAACTGACTAGGTATGTCTGAGCCTATTTCCTCCAGACCCTGGACTTCATCAGGGAACGAGCTGAAACATCAGAGTTCTCAAAAACTGCCCTCCTCCTCACTTAGACTCAGGTAGTTATCACTGATATCACTTAATGCTGCCATTACTATGTAAGCTAGGTGCTAGGTCATTCATTTTCTGCAAGAGAAAGGAAAGGGGGCCTGCCAAGACATAAATGGAGTATCAGGAATATTTTATTCCTCCCTAAAGACAAGAGGCTACCCTGTGGGGGAATCTCTGGGAGTTTATAGAAGGTCTGGATAAGGAGAGAGTTTTGAGGAGGAGGGGAATGGCCAGAGCCATCTCACTGTTGATAACTATAGTAGAAAGGTGAATGGTTCCCTGCTTGGGCTTCCTCCCTGAAGTTCATCTGGGGCATATCACATGGCTATGAGTGTATCACCCACTACTTTAAAACTCTCAGTAGCTTGCCACAACCCATAAAATGTGACTATGTGGTAGGAGTAATATTATGGGGAAAGCATGAGCTTTAATTTTTTTTTTTCGGTCATGAGGGACGTTAGTGCCCTGACCAGGGATCAAACGTGTGCCCCCTACATTGGAAGTGCAGTCTTAACCACTGTACTGTCAGGGAAATCCCAGCATGAACTTTGATATCAAGAAGTATTAGGTCAGTGGCAAATTAGAAGTTATAAATAAGTATATTATCAATATTTGTATTCAATTGCATGTATACATTGATTAAGATGATAGGTGTTTCAGTGCATAATAGGAAAGCACAAAATATGCTTGGGAGATGAAGATTGAACCTATAAATCTTGCTTTGTAAAAACGGGTGCAGGGTACCATAGCAGTTTCTGGACTGATGTTGATCTATGGATTAATTTAATTCCTATAAAAATCCAACAGATATCTTTGAGGAAATAGACAAGCTGACTCTAAAATTTAAGTGGAAATGCACAGGGTCTAGAGTAGCCAGAAATGATCTTGGAGAAAAAGAACAAAGTTGAAGGAGTAAAATATTTTAATTAGGACTTAACCATAAGCCTAGAGTATTCAAGAGAATGTGGTATTAGGGAAATAGAGACAAACAAGCCAATGAAACAAATTAGAAATTTTAGAAACCCACCAACACACGTTAACTGACTTTTTACAATGGTCCCAGGTCAGTACAATGTGAGAGGGAAAGTCTCTTTTAACAAGTATTGCTGGGACAACTGGATAACCATATAGGTTAAATGAACTTCAACCTCTAGCTCATTCCACACACACACACACACAAATTTGAGAGCTAAATGTAAAACCTACAACTATAAAGTTTCTATATAGAATAGAGGAAAAGATCTTTGTGACCTTGAGGTAGGCAAAGGTTGTTTGGACAGGATACAAAAAGCAAGAACCATGGGGTGGGGAAATGGATAAATTGCACTCAAGAAAGTTAACATTTTCTGATACCAAAAGGAACTATTAAGAAAACAAATAGATAAGACAGTGAATGAGAACATATATCACAGCACATAAAAAGATAACTCAGAAAAATGACATGACTTAAGCATACATTTCACAAAAGGAGGTATAAAAATAGCCAATAAGCACATGAAAAATTGCTGAACAGCACTAGTCTTAGATATGACAGCTAAAGCATAGGCAACAAAGGAAAAAAATAGACAAATGGAACTTCATCACAATTAAACCTTTTATTCTTCAGAGGTTATTATCCAGAAAGTGAAATGACAATTCATAGAATGTGAGAAAATGTTTGCATATCATATATCAGAAAAGAAATTCATATCTAGAACGTACTAGTAACTCTTACCAATGCGGTAATAAAAAGATAACTAACCCAATTAAAAATAGGTACTGCTCCAAAGAAGACTCACAAATGACCTTTAAGCATAAGAAAAGATGCTCAGCATTGTTAGCCACTAGCAAAATGCATGTCAAAACTGAGGTCAGATACTTGATGCCCGTTAGGATGGCTATATTCAATAAAACATAAAAAATGTTGAGAATATGGACACACTGAAGCCTTGCTATTGGTAATGGAAAATGGTGCAGCCACCTTTGAAAAACAGTTTGACAGCTCGTCAAAAGATTAAACATGGAGTTACCATATGGTCCAGAATTTCACTCCCAGGCATATCCCCAAGAGAAATAAAAAATATATGTGCACAGATAAATGTCTATACAGATATTCATAACAGCCAAAAAAAAAAAAATGGGAACAACCTAAATGTCCATCAACTGACTAATGGATAAGTAAGAGGTAGAATTTTTTACAGAGGAATATTATTCAGCGTTTAGAAAAAAAGAATGAAGTACTGGTACATACCATGACATAAATGAACCTTGAAAATATGCTAAGGGAAAGAAACCACTCCACAAAGAACCACATATGTATGATACCACTTATATGAACTGTCCAGAATAGCGAGATCTATAGAAACATAAAGTAATTTATGTTGTTGTAAATAAACATAATAAAGAAATTTATTGTAAATAAACAATAAAGTAAATTTGTTGTTGTTGTCACTCCTTGGGATCCCATGGAGGACGGCTCACCAAGCTCCTCTGTCCATGGGATTTCCCAAGCAAGAATACTGGAGTGGGTCGTCATTTCCTTCTCCTCAGGATCTTCCAGACCCAGGGATCAAACTCTTGTCTCCTGCTTTGGCAGGCGGATTCTTTACCACTGAGCAACCAGGGAATCCCTATAAGGGCTGAGAACACTCTAAATGTTGGTGACAATGTGAAATCTCTGAAACCCTCAAACGTTGTTGATGGAAGCATGAAACAGTACAACTACTTTGAAAATAGTTTGGCAGTTTCTTAAAATGCTGAATACTGCCATCTAAAGATCCAGTAATTCCACTCCTAGAACTGTCCTCAAGTGAAATGAAAACATATGTCCACAAAAAGACTTGTACAAGAAAATTCATTATAGCTTCATACATTATAGCCTCAAATGGGAAACATCCCCAAAGTTGCTCCAAGAGGAGAAAGGATAAACAATGTATGGAAAGAATGAACTACAAACACGTGCAACAACATGGATGATTCTTTTAAAAAAAAAACATGCTTACCGAAAGCTAGACACCAAAAGTAACATACTGACTGATTTCCTTTTTATGAAATCTAGGAAGAGGAATAACTAATGTGTAGTGTGAGAAGTAGTGTGAGAAGGCAGTAAAGTAACCATTGAACCCCTACTCTACAACAGGCACTGTTCTAGGAGTTGGGAACACTGGTGATAAAGCTCCCCAATCTTGCCTTCATGGAGTTTACATTCTGATGGGAGAGACAATTAACAGACATATTTAATAGCAAGTGCAGGGCATGGCGGGGGGGGCGGATAGTAAGGGAATTTACAGCAAATTGTTCTATGAAATGCAGAAACTTTGGAGATTCTGGCATGATCTATGCTCAAGAGGAGCCCAAAGCCCATGTCTTCTTCTTTTTTTTTAATTACAGTTTGCCAGCCCTAATAGTCTGCTGCTTCAATATTTGTGCCTATTTCTGGACTGAGTTCCCACTTAGCTATGACTTTTCTGGTTCCTCTTTGGGATACAAATGTGTACTCAGCACTTGCTGCCCTATATGTTTCTGGACTGGACCCAAAGTAGACAGAATCACTACTGGGTGAGGTTCATTTCTAAGTTGCAGGTAGTTGCAAGGGACAGCCTACGGGCAAAACTCGCCAGAACTGCTGTCTCTTCACCTGGCCTCTATCCCTTCTTGACCTCTGCCAGTGTGCCCTTGCTTTTCTTTCATTTTACTTCCTTTCAGGAGCTGGCAGCTGAACTATCCCCCATACTGTGCTCTTGCGTTTACCTGACCTCTGGCTTACAAGGATTCTTAAGAAAAGGGAGGACAGTTCAGAGGACTTTCCCACCTCTTCCCACTGCTGGAAAGGCAAAGATTTCCCCCACCCACATGACAAGAAAGAACATGACCCCATGCAGGCAAGCAGGTCACTATCAGGAGAGAGAGAGAGATACTTCTGGGGCATAGAGGTGCTCCTCAGCCTGGCATCAGCTCTTCCCCTTGTGTGAAGGCCTCTCTTTAGTGACCTGGACCCTCCAAACTTGGCTTTGGGTGTCCCACACTAAGCAGCCCAGTGGGAAGGCAGTAGGCTTCCATGGGAGGCCATGATCCTACTGGAGGGGGAGTCTTTCAGGTGTTGGGGTGGGGAGAGTGGCCCAAGCCCAAAGCTTTCAGGAAGAAGCAGACTTGTGAGGCAAGGTTCCTTCTCCCTTTTTCACCTCCTGTGACTGTCATTCTTGGCTACAAAACCAGCTGCTAAATTGTCAGGACAGTCCCTCTGTGGACTCCACCTGGCCAGGGCAAAGGTTTTGAAATGTAGGGGCTGTACTTTGCATGCTGGTGATTCTGTCAGTTTATGAGTGTCTCTCTGCTTTCTGGATCCAGGGTGAAGCCTCCAGAATCCTTGTTCTGAAGACCCTGGCATCCTGGATGTTAGGATACTGGCTCCCTGTTGCTTTGTAGCTGACCACATCACAGCTTAGTAGGTTTCAGCATTCTTTCCCTTTGTGTAGTAGGCAGTGGGGTGACACAGTAGACAACCCCGCTTGGGAAATAAGCCGACACTTGAGAATATGGAAAATAACAAGATTCCAGAGCTGATTCCTTTCACTTACAACTCTCGTCCCAGCTTCATCTCCAGCTTGCTCTTTTAACGCTTTGTCCCTCAGTTTCTCCTCTGCGAAATGGAGGCAAGCCGTCTTCAGTTATCATATACTTTTCTCATAGGAGGGAAGTCAATGAATACCTAGCTCTGGTCTCCCAGGGGTTTGGGGAAAGTATGAGGGCCCATGTGATTGGCTTTCTGTACACGGGTGACTTGTATCCCAGAAAATCACATGATTCTCATGAATACTTGCTTGTGACACAGAAAGGCCCCTGTGCTGGACACAGTTTGGGCCGCCCTTTTTCCTTCCCTTGACTTGTTTAGGAAGACAGGGCTTGAGGACACATGGCTGGGATCATGGCACATTAGGCTGCAGAAGGAAAGAGGGAGATGGAGTGGCAGCTTAGTGGTGGGGGCTGGGCCTTGGGTAACACTTCCCTTGAGGATCTATGACTGTCCCAGTCAAATGTCAAATGGGGGTGGGGGAGTATGCTCACAGATCTTCTTGCGACCTGGACAGCCCACTCGGCAGTCTCTTCCTTTTGCTCTCAGGGCTCCCTGTATGGAGAAACCAGTAACATCTATGAGATCTGAACCTGGGGAGGTCAGGTTTACAGAAGGACTGGCTGCGACCCTCATAGGTGCTCAGCGACCTCACACTTGTCCCCTGCCCCAACCCCCCCCACCCCACCCCCGATCTGTCTTTCCTTACTTCCTTCTTCCTCGCTCTTTCCCACAGATCTAAGCCAAACTTTAGATGTACATAAGTAAAGATAAGGGCTTCCCAGGTGGCACTAATGGTAAAGAATCCACCTGCCAATGCAGCAGATGCAAGTTCAATCCCTGCATCAGGAAGATCCCCTGGAGGAGGAAATGGCACCCAATGGCAACCCACTCCAGTATTCTTGCCTGGAGAATCCCATGCACAGAGGAGCCTGGTGGGCTACAGTCCATGGGGTCACAAAGGGTCGCAACATGACTGAGCACACACACACACACAAGTAGAGATAATTTATTTCCTTGACCTAACGTCCTACCCAATGATGACAGTAACTAGGCTCATTTCCTCCCCCATGATTGACAGGTACCCAAGGCTTCTCTTCAGTCCTTCAGATCCTGAGATTAAAGTGTCTGCTTACTCAAACAAGCACATTGAGACAAGGTGTGATCCAGCTAGCCCACGTCACTGTCCTTCCATACTGCCCATGGCCTTGTGATATCAGGGCAAGAGACCAGAGCTGTCCAGACTGTCATCACCTCCCTGACCTCAAGGTTTCCCGTGGGACCTGGCAATGTGGAGAACGGAGGGAAGTCAGCACCCACATCTGGCCTGGGCTTGTCCGCAGCCTGTTCTCGGTGCAGAGACAAGGGGCAGGACCCTCCTGGGCTTTGGGCTCCTTCCTGTCTCATGGTCCAAGCTGAGTCACAGACAGCAGACAGCCAGGAGAGCTAGCATCAGTGGACTCCCTTCCTCCTGCCCAGAGGAGTGGGGACCAAGCTAGTCTGCCTTCTGGGCTCCCACTGGCTTCTGGGGGAGATTGAGTAAAATAAGGGGTGGAGACCCTGCACTTCCAGAAATATATCAGCTCTCTCATGCAGTGAATATGGAGTGCCACATGGTCCCAGGCATAATGGTAAGTGCTTAAGTCATAAGGAGGTCCTGACCTTGGGCAACTCACCATAGTAGTAGAGATCCTTATAACTCTGGATAGTGGTGTTTAGCTCAGGGTGCTATGGACTCCAGGGAGAGGCACATACCAGACCAGCTTGGGAGAATCAGGGGAGACTTCCTGGAGGAGGTGGCAGTGGTGAGTCTCAAGGTACCATTGGGATGGATGTGGAGAAGGCAGTTGACAAGTTTAGAGGCTCAGAAGAGGAAGAGAGACTCAAAACTGACACTCTGCTGATTAGGACCTGAAACACGCTCCTCCAAGGACCTAGGCCAGAGAGATGGTGCAAGGTCTTGTGCTGTGTGACTCTGGTTGAGGAGAGGTTGGGGCACTTTTCCAGCCAGCTCCCTGTTTGACTGCATGTCTGTGTATCTACACCATCCCCCTCGCCACAGCCCTCCTGTCAGGCCTAGAACAGCAGTGTGTGTGTGTGTGTGTGCATGCCTGTGTGTACACACATACAGCCATGTGCCGCTGTGTCCCCAGTGCGGGGGGGTGGGGAGCAGGTTTGGTGCCTCTACCAAGTAATTACTGCCCGTCTCTGGGAACTGGGCCTATGTCTGCAGATCAGAGTGAGTGCTACTGGGGGCAGTAAATGGGCAGAATGTGGGACCAGGGGCTAAGAGTTTGGGCATGCGAGACATGGAGACAAAGGTCTTATTAGAACCTTTGTTCAAAGGTCCAGGCTGGCGATCTCACTGACGCCCTGGGGTGGGGGCGGTGACACCCAGGGACAGATCTTGGGACCGGGGCCAGGCTGGTAGTTTGTGTGGTGGCCTGACTTTTCCCCAGGGCTCTTACCCCAGCCAGGGAAGATGTCCCATACCTGAGCATTTCATCTGTGGTGGGCAGCAAGAAGGACTGGCCCAGGGCCTCTAATAACAAATACATGAGCTGGAAGGAAAGCCTTTCTTGCCCTGACTCTGTTCTGAGCTGAATGGAGAAGAGAGGGCCTGCCCCATCCTTGCTTTTGTGGTCAGAGAGAGGTGTACCCCGCTTGCTTCGTATAGTGGCTAAGGGGAGCTTCACCATCTTCCAGAATTCCAAACCAAGGTTCCCTCTGTCCTACAGGTGGAAGGCTAGAGGCCTTAACCATCCATGCCCTCAGCCCCTCTCTTCCGCATCTCTCCCTCCCTGCTTGTTGCTCCCTGCAGGCCCCTACCTGAACCCAGCCCCCACGAGGCACCCTCTCCCCAGCTGATCCAGCCTCTAGCCTCCATAGGTGGTTGGCCTGCTCTCCCTGCCTTATAGTAACTTCTTCCACAGCTGATGTCACCCTGCTTTGTATTGACACAGCAGCTGAGCCAGGTACAGCAGGGGTTCCCCGGGCCAGAGGGCAGCTGTCTGTGTCCCGAGTCAGGCTTCCCTCGGTGCCTTCTCCGCGCGGCCTCTCCCAGCCAAGAGCCTGCTGCTCTCCCTCTGAGCCAGTGTATCCACCTGAGGATTGAGTGTTGACTGAGCCTTCACAGTGCCCAGTGGAGTGTTAGTTCTCTGCTCTGCCAGGGTGGTAGTGGTGGGTGGGAAGGTGGTGGAGAATGCAGCCAAGGCTCCGAAGCTGTCCCCGGGGAGCTCACAGCTTTCCAAAGGAAACAGGACAAAGTATAATAGCCAACTGGGCAGGATAGCATCTGATGACCGCAGGGTACAAACAGACCCTATTAAATGGGGAGTGTGTTCAGGAGAGGTTCCTAACTGAAGTGCCCCTAGAATTGGTTGTAGGAGAGAATGGGCCTGAGACAGACTCATTTAGCAATTTTTTGAGCGTCTATTCCTGTGCAGTGGCCTGGGTGTTCTGACAAGCTACTAATATTTATTGATATATTTAGCCTATTTTACAAGGCTCAGAAGGCTGTACCAGTCTGGGGCCATTAGGGTGGGGGTGATGTTGGGGGGCACATATCAGCTCCCTTTGCTGGGGGTTGGTAGATACTTCATAGGTTTGTCTAGCAAGGAGTTCATTCCAAGCATGGAACAAATGTGCTGAGTGGGGAGTGGAAAGGAGTCTTGCTAGTCCCATTGCCTCCATCCTGGTTCCATCAACCCTGGAACTAAGGTCTGGGTCCCTGGGCAGGTTACAGTCTGGAAACCCACCCTGCCACCACCACCTTCTATATCACCTGAGGTGTCTTCCTTTTATTCCACTCCCCAACTCCACCTTTCTTTTCCACCTCTCTCTGCTCAAGAGGGAAAAGGGGAAACCCACACTTGCCCTCAGCTTCCTCTTTGTCATCTAAGTATAAATGATGCAATTGGGGTAGATTGCCAGTCCATTCTCTGCTGCTCCCATGCCAGGATTGCCTGGATTCCCTTTTAAACTCCCAAGTTATTTCTTCCTATTTCCCTAAGGGACTCTGTGTTTGCAATGTCACCTGGCCCAGACATGCTCTTGCAGAAGCCTTGCTTTCCCCATGTGCTTCTTTCAAGCAGCAGCCTAGAGAGCCAGCTGTAATCAGCCCATCTCTGCCAACCGTGTCTTTCAGCTGAGGACCAGCCAGGGGAGAGAGGGGCAAAACCCAGAGGTCCAAGCACAATAAGCCCTCAGCACTCAAGGCAGCCCTCGGAGGCGACTGACGTGGTAAGTCCCTGTAATGCCGGGTACCCACAGGTCTTCTTCCCTAACACCCTTCTCCCCAAACTTCTGTGTTCTGTGGGCAAATGCCAACTTCTTCCTGGCCTCCAAGAGCTACCTGGCCCTCTGGATCACTTGGCAAAGCTATGTTATGGGCCCTGGTGCTGGTCAACCCATCTCTTGCCAGGGCAGACTGGTGCCTGGGCCTGTGGGTCAGGGCTGAAGCCAATACCCAGTTAATCCCATCACCTTGTTCAGTTTTCGAGAGCTTATAAGAAGCAAGGTGCCAAAGACAGGGGCCTCGAAAAGGTAGGGCTTTCTTGGGAGGGTATATGGCTTGGATTCATCCAGGAAGGTGGAGAGTTGGATGCAGCATGAAGCAAATGGGAGAGGGGTTGGGGAGTGGGACATGAAGTCAGCACAAGAGGTGTGAAGTGGGGATTGAACTGCCCCCCTCAGAGATGGGGAACACAGATGGCCCTTGGTGGAGACTACTGGGGGCTGTTGTTCAGTCTCTAAGCTGCAACGATTTGTGACCCCATGGACTGCAGCACACCAGGTTTCTCTGTCTTTCACTATCTCCTGGAGTTTGCTTAAACTCATGTCCATTGAGTTGGTGATGCCATCCAACCAGCTCATCCTCTGTCACTGCCTTCTCCTCCTGCCTTTAATCTTTCCCAGCATCAGGGTCTTTTCCAATAAGTCAGCTCTTTGCAGCAGGTGGCCAAAATATTGGAGCTTCACCTTCAACATCAGTCTTTCCAATGAATATTCAGGGTTGATTTCCTTTGGGATTGACTGGTATGATCTCCTAGCTGTCCAAGAGACTCTCGAGAGTCTTCTCCAGCACCACAATTGGAAAGCATCAGTTCTTCGGTGCTCAACCTTCTTTATGGTTCAACTCTCATATCCATACATGACTAATGGAAGAACCATAGCTTTGACTAGATTGACTTTGGTGGCAGTGATTTCTCTACTTTTTAATATGCTGTCTAGGTTGGTCAGAGTTTCTCTTCCAAGGAGCAAGCGTCTTTTAATTTTGTGACTGCAGTCACCATCTGCAGTGATTTTGGAGCCCAAGAAAATAAAATCTGCCACCGATTCCACTTTTTCCCCTTCTATTTGCCACAAAGTGATGGGACTGGATGCCATGATCTTAGTTTTTTTAATGTTGAGTTTTAAGTCAGCTTTTTTCACTCAGTTCTTCTACCTTCATCAAAAGGCTCTTTAATTCCTCTTGGCTTTCTGCCATTAGAGTGGTATCATCTGCATATCTGAGATTGTTAATATTTCTTCTGGCAATCTTCATTCCCGTTTGGGATTCATCCAGCCCAGCATTTTTCATGTTAAACTCTGCATAAAAGTTAAATAAGCAGGGTGACAATATACAACCTTGGTGTTCTCCTTTGCCAATGTGGAACCAGTCTGTTGTTCGATGTCAGGTTCTAATTGTTGCTTCTTGACCTGCATACAGGTTTCTTAGGAGACAAGTAAGGTGGTCTGGTATTCCCATTTCTTTAAGAATTTTCTACAGTTTGTTGTGATCCACAGTCAAAGATTTTCACATAGTCAACGAAGAAGATGTTTTTCTGGAATTCTCTTGCTTTTTTTATGATCCAATGGATGTTGGCAATTTGATCTCTGGTCCCTCTGCCTTTTATAAATCCAGCTTGTACATCTGGAAGTTCTCGGTTCACATATTGTTGAAACCTCGTTTGAAGGATTTTGAACATTACCTTGGTAGCATGTGAAATGAGAGCAAGTGTCCTGTAGTTTGAACATTGTTTGGCATTGCCTTTCTTTGGAATTGGAATGAAAACTGACCTTTTCCAGTTCTGTGGCCACTGCTGAGTTTTCCAAGTTTGCTGGCATCTTGAGTGCAGCACTTTCACAGCATCATATTTTAGGATTTGACATAGCTCAGCTGGAATTGCATCACCTCCACTAGCTTTGTTTGTAGTAATGCTTCCTAAAGCCCACTTGACTTCACACTCCAGGATGTCTGGCTCTAGGTGAATGATGACACCATCATGGTTATCTGGGTAATTAAGATCTTTTTTGTATAGTTCTTCTGTGTATTCTTGCCACCTCTTCTTAATATCTTCTGCTTCTGTTAGGTCCATACCATTTCTGTCCTTTATTGTGCCCATCTTTGCATGAAATGTTCCCTTGGTATCTCTAATTTTCTTGAAGAGATCTCCAGTCTTCCCCATTCTATTGTTTTACTATATTTCTTTGCATCATTCACTTAAGAAGGCTTTCTTATTTCTCCCTGGTATTCTCTGGAACTCTGCATTCAGTTGGGTATATCCCTTTCTCCTTTGCCTTTCGCTTCTCTTCTTTTCTCAGCTATTTGTAAGGGCTCCTCAGACAACCATTTTTCCTTCTTGCATTTTTTTCCCCTTAGGGGTGGTTTTGGTCACCCACTCCTGTAAAATGTTATGAACCTCTGCCCATAGTTCTTCAGGCACTCTGTCTACCAGATCTAATCTCCTTGAATCTATTCATCACCTCCACTGTATAATCATAAAGGACTTGATTTAGGTCATATCTGAATGATCTAGTGTTTTCCTCTACTTTCTTCAATTTAAGCCTGAATTTTGCAATAAGGAGCTCATTATCTGAGCCATAGTCAGCTCCAGGTCTTGTTTTTGCTGATTGTATAGAATTTCTTCATCTTTGGCTGCAAAGAATATATTCAGTCAGATTTTAGTATTGACCATCTGACAATATCCATGTGTAAAGTCATCTCTTGTGTTGTTGGAAGAGTGTTTGCTATAACCGGTGTATTCTCCTGGCAGAACTCTGTTAGCCTTTGCCCTGCATCATTTTGTACCTGAGGGCTGAGGCTGTTCCTTTTTCGAAGGAAGATGTGGAGGCCATGAGAACAGGCCTTACATTACAGATTACCAACTACTGGTGGGATAATTGACCAAGAGCCTCCACCTGGGCCACTTATAGGTGAGCAGCCCAGCCAATAATTGAGCTTAGCAGGGATACTAAGGCAGGCTCCTTCCTGGGAGACACAGAATTCTGATCATTTGTTTGGTCTTGGCCAACGTTTCTGAGACTAACTATACTGCAGGAGGCTCCACACCAACTTTCCTACTGTCTCTTCTTCATTTGGGGTCAGACTCACATTCTAGTCTGACAACTCTCCTAGCCTTCCTAGGCTCAGTCCCTATTTTCATTTACAAGTGTTTCCCACACTAAATACCCTCACAAGCTTTATCCTTGGCCTCTGCTTCTCAGAGGACACAGATTCACACAAAAAGTTACCATGCCTCCAGAATGATAAATCCCTGTTGGTTAGGACCTGTTAGTAGAGTTACCAAGAAGAGAAGAGTAAGTAACAGGAAGGAGCAGAGGAGAGACCAGTCCCTAGGTGGGAGACCCTGAGGACACAGCCTCTCAAACTGGGCAAGGGTAGTGCTACCACCTGGTGGGCGTTTTAGGCAAAGCACCCGTTGTGCCTTCCCACTGTTCTGTGATCCCGCTCAAGAAGGTGGGAGTGAAGAATCTATTCTGGGCCTTGGGATCCCCTCTCCCTCATTTCGGAGAAGGCAATGGCACCCCACTCCAGTACTCTTGCTTGGAAAATCCTATGGATGGAGGAGCCTGGTAGGCTGCAGTCCACGGGGTCGCTAAGAGTCAGACACGACTGAGTGACTTCTTTCACTTTTCACTTTCATGCATTGGAGAAGGAAATGGCAACCCACTCCAGTGTTCTTGCCTGGAGAATCCCAGGGACGGGGGAGCCTGGTGGACTGCCATCTATGGGGTCGCACAGAGTCAGACACAACTTAAGCGGCTTAGCAGCAGCAGCAGCTCCCTCATTTACAGCATAAATTATAAGAATTGAATTCCAGATTCAAATGTTTATCCTTTAAAGTCAACACCATGGTTGGACATCTGTGTAGATACTAAAAATCACTAGCTTGTATACTTAAATGGGTAAACTGTATGATCTGTGAATTATATCTCAATAAAGCTGTTTTTAAAACTCAGCACCAGAAGAGGAGTTGGAATGAACGGAAACTTCTATTTTATTTAAAATAATTTTTATTTTTAAAAGGAAAAAAAATAGAAGAATTTTAATTTTAATTGGGAGGAGAGTTGATTTACAATGTTGGGTTAGTTTCAGATATTATGAACTGAAGCTTTTAGAACATGAAGATGAGGATGGTTGGTTTCGGTTTCTTGGGACATCCCCAAGCAGATGTGCAAGAAGCTCGCCTAGCAGGTACTCAAATACTTAGTAAATTTACATGTGCAGTTAAATGGAGCCACTTCTTTCATTGCCTTGCGACCCACCCTTTAATCTCTACACCCCTGCTCCTCCACATCAGGCATCTCTAGCCTCCTCACTTTTCAAGGTCTCCTGAGATTCTAGTCTAAACATCCAGAAACTTTTATTGGAATTCTTGACTTTTTAGCACCGTTTGATACCATCCATCAGTGCCTACTTCTTCAAACACCCCTCCTCTGACTTTCCTGTCTTGAAAATCTCTGGTCCTCCTCCTGTCTCTAATGACTCTTTCTCCCTTTTGGCTCCTCTTCTGTCCTCCAACTCAAGTTCTTTTCTTTCTTTATTCAATCTAATCCTTTGGCAATCTTAACTGTTCCTGTGACTCCAATAAACTTCTAGCCACACAATCCCCATATTACTGTCCATAGTCTTTATTGCCCGCTTAAACTTTAGCCCAAATTGTTCAACAGACTCTCAGATTTCATCATCCTAACACTTTAGACTTAAATATGCTTAAAGCCAAATTCATCACCTTCCTACTGAAACCCACTCCTCTTTTGCTCCATCTCCCCACCCACCTTGTAATAGCATCACCACTCTTCCAATTGTCCAGGTTTGAGACCTTAGATCTGCCTCTGATTTCTCTCCCTTGTACCCCACATCCTTCAGGTACATCATAATCCCAGCAGATGCCACCTAAGAGATTTCTCATATATCTTTCCTTTCCTTTCTAGTCTTATTTCACCGAATGAAATTCGTACTTTCATTATCTGTCCCTGAACTAACACAGCAATTTTCCAACTGATCTGCTTGCTTCCAGTTTCTCCCCAAACCAACCTATCCTGTTGTCAGACTGTTTTCCATAAAATATAGCTTTAATATAGTTACTCTGTTCAGATGCTTTGTCTGTCTTTCTGTTGCCTAATAAATAAAATGGCTGGTATATGAGGCCTTCCATATTTTCTCCCAACCATCTTTCCTGGCTCCCTTTCTATACTCCAGCCAAAGTGGGATTGTTCTTCCAAAAGAGACTTACTTTCGGCTTCCCACCTACTTGGCTTTGTACACGCTGCTGCCCCTGCAGGTTGATAGCGGGAAGTCATTACCACTCTCGTCAGACCCCATTTGGAAGCCTGACGCCACCATAAGTTCTCTCTCTGATCCTCAGTTTCTTCCACCTGTAAAATAGAGATAATGAAAAGCTAATTGTATGAGAGATAACTGAGATCATATTAATACACAGTAAAGTATCTGGCGTTTTGGTTAAGCGGTAACTAGCTGGGAGGGATTGCGGGCAGGAGGAGAAGGGGATGACAGAGGATGAGATGGCTGGATGGCATCACCGACTTGATGGACATGAGTTTGAGTAAACTCCAGGAGTTGGTGATGGACAGGGAGGCCTGGCGTGCTGTGATTCATGGGGTTGCAAAGAGTCGGACACGACTGAGCGACTTAACTGAACTGATACCTTATTGTGCTGTGCTTAGTCGCTTCAGTCATGTCCCATTCTTTGCGACCCTGTGGACTGTAGCCTGCCAGGCTCCTCTGTCCATGAGCTTTTCCTAGCAAGAATACTAGAGTGGGTTGCCATTTCCTTCTCCAGGGCATCTTCCAGACCCAGAGATGGAACCCATGTCTCCTGCATTGCAAGCAGATTCTTTATTGCTGAGCTACCAGGGAAGCCCCAGCTATACCTTATTTCTGCCTCTTAAAATATTATCCATCCTTCAAAATCCATTTTGGTGCCATTCCCATTCAAAATTCCCTTCTTGACCTTCCCAATTCCAAACCCAATCACCTTCCTTCCTCTGTGAGATACTGTACTTCCCATTATGTTACTTATCATTGTAGCTATTTTCATACCTGCCATACATTTCACCCATATTCTTCCCCAGCTGTAACCTCCAAGGAAGTAGCAATTAGGCTTAAAGCAGGCAGGTGGTAAGCAAGTCTACTACATGGTGGCTCCCATGTCAAGAAATGAACACACTGATGTCTCACTGTGAAGGCAACCAGCCAAGAGGTTCTCTGAGACTGAAATAAAAATGAACCTCAGATTTTGATGTACATAACTACTGACAACTGGCTTTTTAAAAATAATTATTTTTTCCAAATATGAAAGTACTCATAATCATTTTAGAAAAAATTAGCAAAACAATAAGCATCTATAATCACACCATCCAGAGCTACCATTACTAAATATTTTTATTCTTCAATATTAGTCCTTTTTTGATACATCTATCTAAGTATATACAGAGAAAATTTGAATTCTCTACATGTATATGCCAGAAGTTTTAACATAACATACACTGAGCTTTTTCTTATGACATTAAATGTTACTCGAAAATGTTGCTAATTTCTGCACAACAATCCATTATGTGAATGTGTCTTAATTTATTTGATCTTTTTTCTATTGTTGGATATTTGGGCTTCCTCTTTTCCAGCTTTTTAAAAAATTAATAACTTATCAATCATGCTGATAGAGATACCAAGGTAGATTTCTCGATTTGAGGTAACAGGGCCAGTGGAACAAAAGAAAAGAAAGCTCTTGGTTCTGAATTCCTGTTCAGGAAGTCTTTAAAAAAATTTTGAAAAATGATTGACCTTTAGTGAGGTGTGATTGCCATACAAAAATCTGTATTTATTTAACGTGTACCACTTAGTGAGTTTGGCAATAAGTGTACAGCTTTAAAACCATCACCTCAGGAAATTTTAATCAATTTGTAGTTTCACCAGCTACTCTAGCTCTTTTATTCATTTGTCTCCTTTTCAGCTTTTAAAGAGATAACCAGTTTCAGGAGTGAAAAAGTGGTTGGATTCCCTGTTTTTGGAAAGAAGCTAAGGCATGAGTAATTTAAGCTTAGCTCAGCTCCCATTCCAGTGACCATGAGGAATAAAGATCAGTGTAAGTTTTAATATTTCTTGCAGTGTTGTAACTTTCTTTTCATTTAGTCTTTTAACTTAGTCTGTTTCCTTGTGCGTGCTATCTGTAAAACATGTCTGCCTCTCAGAAAACGTGATGTGCTGCAGGGACAAGAAGCGGGAAGAGAGGTAGAAATCATCATTCCATTCCTCACTGACCTCAGAAAGTTGGATCTCCTGCCACAGAGCACCTGTTGCACCTGTTACACCTGTTGCTTCTCCCTTACAGTACTTTTTATGATGATAAGCCATCAATTATTTGTATATTTGTTTAATGTTTATCTTCCTCACCAGAATGTAAATTTCATGAGGCAGGGGGCCCTAATGATCTCCTTTGCTATTTCAGTAAACATCTGTGGAGTGAATTATGATTGGAATGAGGACTCAGGATGGAAGAAGATGTGGCTTCTCTAATGGGGCTCTCAGAGGGAGTGACAAGGAGGTATGATGGATGTTTGCCCTGAGAGCCTGAGGTGATGCTGGAAGAGTGAACCCCGAGGGACCTGCCCTGGGGCTCCAGTCTCCCCTCTTCACAGGCTTGGGACAGTCAGTCAAAGTGCCTCATGTGAAATGTGGTGAGTGGCTCTGAGGAGAACCGCATTCTCTCACGTCCTCTTCTCCGAGCCTCTCTATCCTCCATCTCCTTTCCCTCTCATGCCTTTCTTTCTCCTCTCCTCCTCTTTCTTTCTAGCCTGATGTCTCCTACTCACATGGAGCTCTTTCCTTCCCTAATCCACCGCCTCCAGCAGGTGGCCTGATTAACACTCCACTAACACACCAGCTTGGAGAAGGCAATGGCAGCCCACTCCAGTATTCTTGCCTGGAAAATCCCATGGACGGAGGAGCCTGGTAGGCTGCAGTCTATCGGGTCACTATGAGTCGGACACAACTGAGCAACTTCACTTTCACTTTTCACTTTCTTGCATCGGAGAAGGAAATGGCAACCCACTCCAGTGTTCTTGCCTTGAGAATCCCAGGGACAGGGGAGCCTGGTGGGCTGCCGTCTGTGGGGTCACACAGGGTCGGGCATGACTGAAGTGATTTAGCAGCAGCAGCAGCAGCAACACACCAGCTAGAAAACCCTGCCTGCCACAGCAGGAGCTCTGCCTAGAAAGGAAACTGCTGATGGATTATGTCAGGACACGTGAGCTCAGATCCATTTTCTAGGGCTTAGTCAAGTGACAACCTCTTTATTTTTGGTTTGTTTATTTTTTGGCCGAACTGCGTGGCATGCAGGGTCTTAACCACTGGTCCACCAGGGAAGTCCTAACTTTGTTTTTGTAGATAGTGTCATCTGTATCTTACCACCTAGGTTTGATTGCTTTCCTCCATCTGTCTAAATCTCTGTAGACAGTATGGACAGATGGACATCAGTGTCCATGGGGATCCTCTAGAAATGGGAGGAAAGCTGAGGGTCTCATTCACAAGGATTCCTTTTAGAGAGATGGAAGATGCAAAATGTATTCCAGAAGGACTCTGAAATCAGGGAGGTAAAAGCAAAGGATGAAAAGGCTAATGTGGGTCCTTATAATGAAGAGGTGGGTCACATCCAGCCTCTCTGTGAGGTGTCTGGTGAAACAAGACAGAGGCTATTTTCTTGCTGTCTGGGCTGGGACAGCTGCTACAGGACTTCATTTACCTGGACTTTCCAACAGAACTGACCTGTTCACTTTAATATATTATGGAGAAGCTGGGGCTTGTGCAGGCCCCCTGGTGTAGTGCTGTGGTGTTTGTTACATGGAAAAAGGCAGGGGAGGAGTCCCTTTGGCTTAGCTTACTCAGGTTGGTTTGCTTGATCCACCATGTTTGTTGTTGAAAACTTGGGCTACTCAAATTTCAGTATTTTTACCAGGCAGATGACTGTGGTGGTGTATCAGTGAAGGTTAAGCTCTTATACCAGGCTTCTTTCTTACAGATAAGTGATTTCCAGTTTCTTCCATTGAGAATCATTGCCATAGCCACTGTTACTTATAAAGGGTTTCTTACTGTTTATGTCTATTCAGGTGAAAAAGGTTGAGTCACTATGTAGAGTACAGAAGGTGGTTTGCAGCTTGCTTCTCCCTGTAGAACCTGGACTGTGAATCACCCTAGAATTCCTTTCTCTAAAGTATGGAAAGTGTCCTATCTCAGAGGAACTTCCAAGGAAAGCTTATAAGGAGATGGAGCACAAGATTCCATCCTCTAGAATTTGATGTCTCTGAACTCTTTGTCAAGGCCTATCAGATCCCAGAAACCCTGGAGAAGCTGGCGGGATGGGGAGGCTGTGAAAAGGAGTGTATCGGTGGCAGGCATGGGTAACCCTCTTCCTGGTGACTGCATGAGGAGAACATGTGACCAAAAAATTTGTCTTACTGAAGCAATGGGACCAAGTCACCAAGTGGCTAAGAGGCTTCATGATGAAGGGGTACTTTTGATTTGAATGAGTCACAAGGCTGGTCATGTGGTTATAAAACTCTTCTAAGAGGTGCTTTCATTTAAAGACTACTTGTATAATACTTTGCAGGTGAAATGCTATCATTCCATTCTGTTGGTGTCAGCTGAAGTGGAGTGGGTGTGGACACAGAGAGTTCTTAGACCCCACTTGTCCTTCAGGGGTGATGACAACAGAGTCCAGGCTGAAGGTGTCTCTCTTAACCATGAACTGCTGTGTCTGAGTGGAATGCACTAGGGTGCGTGTCATGCTAGGATTATTAAATTCATTGTGTGTTTTATAGTGCACAGATTATAAAGACTTCCATTTCAGTTCTAAAATAATCCTTAAATTTAGCAGGACAGGCCTTATTATCAACACTTTGCAGATAGGTAAACAGATCCTCAAAGGGACTCTTATTGTTGCCCAGAACCATCTGATTAGTGCGTTTTTCAGCCAAGAGTTAAACCCGGGAGTTCTGGTTTCAAGTTCAAGCCTCTTGGGTTTTGCTGAGCCAGTAAGAGGCAGTCTGAGCCCCAGGACTCCTCTGAAATCAGTTGCTTTTTTTTTAACAGAGTAGAGTCAAGTGCCAGTAGGAGCTGGAGGGCCTGGAGAACTGCTGGTCATTAAATCATCAGGAGATCCCACTTTATTACCACATTTGCAACTTCTTGAGTAAGATTTAACAACCTAAGAATGCAGAATGCCTTTTGAGAAAATTTCTCAAGCTGTTACATGACCTGTGCCCACTGTGGGCCTTATAGATTATAC